AGAGAGAGAGAGAGAGAGAGAGAGAGAGAGAGAGAGAGAGAGAGAGAATTGTGTTGAAATTTTGATGGGGATTACATTGAATTTGTAGATTGCTTTTGGTAAAATAGCTATTTTTACTATATTAAGTCCATAGATCCATGAGCATGGGAGATTTTTCCATCTTCTGATATCTTCAATTTCTTTCTTCAAGAATTTGAAGTTCTTGTCATACGGGTCTTTTACTTGCTTGGTTAGAGTTTCATTAAGTTCATTCTCAAATTCATGTGGACTACGAAGGGACTCTATTGAGGCAGAACCATCTTGATGAAGAAGGAAGCCGAGCTTCAAACGGATCACAGAGACCACTAACTAACAGTGCAGCTCTGATGTGCAGACAGACCCCGGACCAGTGCCAGAGCCAAACGCTACAGGCGTGGCCAGCAGTCAGCTGCTCCTCAGACATTCGGTGGAGAGAACAGCCTTTTCAGTGTGGTGCAGGGAAAACCAGGTGTCCATGTGAAAAGAACGATGCTGGGCCGCAGTGAACTCATTGTGACTCAGTGACTTCTATAATCTCTCCCTCTCAACACAGCCTCCTTCTGATTCCAGGGGCAAGGACGAGCTGCACAAGCCCATGGTACACAAGACTGCCAAGACAACTGTCGGCTTATAGTTTACACGCAGGCTTATAAAGACCTACAGTGTGTAGGGATCTACTTTTAGCAGCAAACAGAGAACGTGTCCCTTCCTAATCACCTCGTGGTGTTCCCTCGTGGTGTAGCTCCCTTGATGGCTAAGGAAATCCATGTTACAATGAGGAAAATGAGTAGTGAGACAGACTGTAACCCCAATCTGTGCATACACACTCAGCATTTATGTTTCTCGGTGAACTGGCTCTCTATCTCCAAGGGAGAAGATGCTAAGCCTGGGAAGGGGAGCCAAGGCCAGGAAGGCGTCTATATTGCAGCCATGCCACGCTGGTTAGTGGGGTGGTCTTCCGGCACGAAGATTATAACTCTCTGTGTGGAATAAGCCATGCGCTCTCTTTCTGCAGTTTATCTGCTCAAAAGTGGCTGCCCTCCATTGCGTTACATAATATCATCGCTAGGTGAGTAACTAGATCATGTAATTTGTGCTGCATTATTCATGGTTTGCTTGGCAGAGTTAATGACTGTGAGGGATGCCGTGGTGGAAGTCTCAGGCTCCAGGCTGAGCAAGCACTTTCCATGCTGTTGGATGCTCCCAGGTGACCCAGTGTGGCAAGCTGGTGCTTCTGTGTGGAAGGCTCTTCCCACGGTCCTGGCCTCACGGTCCTGCATGCAGCGGTGCACGCTGCTGAGGGCGTATGGTTGTCAGATGCAGCACATAGGACGTAGTTTTCAAGTGGGCTGCAACACCAGTCTTTATTCTACATTCTTAATAACTGCTTATTCATTCTTTAATAATGGAACATTAGATTATTTTCAGTTTTTAATACCACTGCAATGACTATGTTTAACCTGGAGTATTAAATTAGGAAAGATTTCTAGGAATAAAATTACAATGTTAAGTGCAGCGTACACTTCGGATTTTATTTTTAAAAATTAGGGTTAAAAACTTGGGGACGAATACGTGGCATGATACAGTGGGTATTACATCATATTACGATAACTCATCGTACTAAAACCACCAAATGGTTTTCATGGTACTGTGCATAGCTTGAATGCAGAGCCTGTGAACATCATTCTTACAGGCCAGCAATCACCCAGTTTAGCTTTACTTTCACTTATTTGGAGTGTGCATCGTCTCCCTTATTCTTCCTACCCTTTCCAGTTTTTGGTAAAACGGTTATCAACAACTCCATTCTAGGATACATGGTGGTTCTGGGGCTACAAGGCAGGCCCTCATGGTGACTGAGGGAAGGGCGCATTTGCAAGATGTCTGGGTGAAGGCCTCTCCTGTGCTCTGTACAGCAGTTATCAGAATGAGACCCCGTAGGGAGGCCGGGGACCCTCTGTCATGGGAGCATGGCTGTGGAGCCTGTGTCATTCATCAGAACTCTGGACTCCGGTGACCTGGCCTCACTGCGACACTGTCCTGCACTGCAGCACTAACCCGCTTTGGGCTCCCAGCAACGGAGCTGCTTCCACATTCAGGGGTGGCAGCTTTGCCCAGCGGGATTGCCCACCACAAGGGTGGCACGTGCTGAACCTGGACGGGGCCTCTGAGAAGCCAGGGCTGGTCTGGGGTTGAACTCTTCCTGATACAGCCCCAGACTACCCTGTGCCTGGTAGGTGTGTGTAGCGGTCCTGACACCCCCGCTATGCTCTGTGCCTGGTGGGCGTGTGTAGCGGTCCTGACACCCCCGCTGTGCCCTGTGCCTGGCGTGGCTCTGTAGCGGTCCTGACACCTTCGCTATGCCCTGTGCCTGGTGGGCGTGGGGATGGGAGTTGGGGTGGTGGGGTGATGAGGTGGGATGGTAGGGTGATGGTGGGGTGGGGTGGTTTTATTGTATTGTGTCTTTAAATCTGAAAAGAGGGCAATAAGTTATTTCATGATTTAAAAATTCAACTTACATTTTGTGCTCATAACTACATTTGAACCACAATAGCTGGGATTTGACTGGGCATTGAATTTCTGTGCCTTTTGGAGATTTTACATAAAACTTCACATGTGAGGATGTGAAAGCCCTGACTTTAAAAGGAGAGCAGTCTCGCCTCTGTGCTGTGATTATCCTGCTGTGTTATCTTCAGCTCCAGCTGTGCAATAGAGGCAGCTTTAACAGCTTTGGGGAGCAAGTGTCCTTCCTGCAGGGTCCAGAGGCGCGACTGTCTTCAGCACCCAGGTGGCCACCGCTGACGTGGATGCTTGCTCTACTTCCCTTGTTAATTTTTCAGAGAACACAAAGGAAGGGTGGGTCCCCTTTCTTTTCATCTAAAAAGAACACTTCTCTATATAAAACGTGTCCCAAATCCTTTGTAAGGTCCAAGTCCCCCTGAGGCGCCTGCCTGGCGGTGGTGATGACAGGAGGAAGAGCTGTGACTTCCCCTGAGCTGTCTCTCCTGTCCTTGTCCCTGTTTCCCAATAATGAAAGAGTTTGCAAATGGACAGAGCAGCGGGAGGCTGCCCACTGATCCAGGCCAGGTTCTGCTTTAATCTAGAACTGGAGGAGAGATCTGCAGAGGTGATGATCAGTGTCCATCTTGGTTACAGACCTGGCTGTCCTGCTGAGTGAGCACTGTCCCAGCAGCCCTAGGCAGAAACAGTAGTACCAATGGAGCTGAGTTCGCCAAGTGTACGGCGCCTCTCTGTGGTGGGGGAAGCTCTCTGCCAGCCTGGGTGCCAGACCCCAGGCCCCAGGCTTGCCCAGAGAGGAGTTCCCTCAAGTCTATGTCCCACCCATAGCTCAAAGTGGGCAAACACTCTGGAAAGCGTAAATACATCTGAAAACAAGACTTAATAAGGGATTGCTCCACCTGTGGGAAGTTGCTGAAAATACTGTAGCTCTGAGTTAGGCAGTGGGGGACGTAACTCTGATCCTACGTACTCTGGAGGCTGAGGCAGGAGAATGGAGTCTTGAAGCCCAGCCTGGACTGCACAGTGAGACCTTGACCTGAAAAAGAAAAAATGAAGTTTCCTGTGTTCACAAGGGAAGACCTCCACTCTGGCTTGCTTGGCCAAAACTGGCTAAGAACCTGCATGCAGCATGACCTAATTTTCATGAGTAGGAAGGGAAGGGGTTGTCTGTGTAACAGAAAAAGGCCTGGGACCAGCACACATTTTCCAATGGCTACTTCTGGGGCTGGAGGCTGAGCTTAGAGCATTCTACTTTCCACAACTGGCCACAGATCTGCCGTTTCCCACCTCTCCTGTAAAGCTCCTATGACCTGAAGCAGCTGGTGTTCGGTGAGGAAGGAAAGTGCGTGCATTCTAACAGAGGGGGTGGCCTCTCTGCGCATGTGGCTCGCAGCTGTCCCAGCAGGCTGTCCTTGGGTCCATCTGCAGAGCGCCTCATCCAAGCATCCCTAATCAGATGGGACAACTGTGCCCCGGAGCGCCCTGCAGAGCCCCCTTCTCTCTTCCTGCTGCTCTCTTTGAGGAGACGCCCTGAAGCTGTCCGGATCATCTCTATGTTCATCCTTTTTTGAATCTGATAGCAGCATACAATGTTCCTGACTACACAGCAGGAGTGTGGGGTGTGGACTGAAAACAGATTTTAACTGCCTAGGGGCTGAGCGTCAGTATACACAGGCACCCACAAACGAGCACACACATGTACTGACCTATACCTGAGCACACCCAAATGCTCAGGTGTGTGAACCCCACATGCATTCCTGAACGACCACTTAGAAATGAGTACACACATGCATGTACGACATGCCCTTGCGCACAGTGAGCACATACGTGCATAGGCGTGTATGCACATCCCACACACGCCCTTCAGCCTGCTCTGCTGACAAGGCTCAGGGACTGTGGCTCTGAGGGGGCAGGGCACGGATAGGCAGGCATGCTGGGCAGCGCATGGCTGCCGCTTACACACCTTGGCTGTCTCAGGCCTATCTTCTCACATGAGGAATTGCAGGCAGGATGGCCTGGAGTCAGGGTGCTCCTGGGGTGTGGCAGCCCACAGCTGTGAGCTAGGGCCCCAGCATCGCTCAGAGCAAACTCGCACATGGAATGAATCAGGTTTATTGCAGTATATACACAGCTGGGCTCTACTCTGTGGCGCCCTTTGTAGACACTCCACATATAACATGTAAGATCACACACTGGTCATGAGTCCATTCCAGCAGCAGCTGCCCGTGACCAGCCCATCTCTTCACCACGGAGAGGGGCCAGCTCTGGTGGCACATGCTGGGCCGAGGGGATGGTGTCTCTGGATGCGTGAAAGTTCCATGTGTAATCAGTGACGGCTTATTGGATGATGTCACAGCTCCTGGTCTCTTCCGAGTTATGGCAGGGCGACCATTCTTGGTTGCTGATACGGCACTTTCAGATTCGAGAGGACAGTGTTCCCTCAGAACTGCCGGGTTAAGCAACCATAGCTCTGGACGAAGAGCGGCAAGGCTGACACCTTGCCATTTGCGGCGCACACCACTGCCACTGCCAACAGCTCTGTTAGGGGTGCCTGATCTGGGCCATGCACTCCTCATGACCTGCTCTCTATCCTTGCAGCCCTGGGAGGGAGCAGGCTACTGGTACTTTCTATATCATCAAAGCTGTCTGTCCAATGCAGTTGAAGACAAACTGGGGGCTTGTCAAGAATTGATTGAGGCAAAAGTCCGGGGGCAGTCCTGTGGGACCGACATTCAGGCCAGACATGGCCACTGAGCCTTAGCTGCTCTCCCCTGTCCTAAAGCCCCACGTGCTGGCTTTATTTCTACAGAACTGGAAGCGTGGCCTTTTGTGGTTTCTTCACCCAGAGACCTCTGTCTCTGGCACAGTTGAGATCATTGGCATTCATGCTGGCTGGGCTCTCCATGCCACAGAATCCACAGGAAAAACACTCTGCAGCTCTTATCCTCGCTGTGTGTATGTGTGTGTGTTGGGGGGGGGGTTACATAGGCTGTGCCAGAACACTAGCTCCATCCCTTGTACCGGGCCAGGACATTGTTGTCCAGGGTCTCTGCAGGAGTAGGCACTCAGTCTTCAGCTGCTTCTTCCATCATGGCAAGCACTTCCCCAGGTCTGTCTCCCCACAATTGCAAATAACAGCAAAAGTAAGGGTTGTTATTGGCAGGTATCAGGCAGGAATACCTGAGGCCATTTATATACTGGTAAAATAAACTCTTTTTAAAACAATTTTAAGGGGATGGTTTTCTTTAAAAAGAGAGCAGTCTTCTGGCTAAAGAACATCCCTCGGATGTGTGGACAAGCCACTGGGCCTTCGTGCCAACTGCCGGCCTGGATCCAGAGCTGCTCACCATTGGAGAGCGCAGCAGAGGCTAAGTGCTCAGGAGGATGTGAGCTCCTGAACCATGAAAATGCTGCCTGACTTCTCCTAGGTCACTACTAAGTGGTCCAGGAAATGGCAAGGGTATGGCGGTCCAGATGCAGAGGCCCCCAGTAGGCAGTCCCACTTGATGGGGCTCAAGACCATGGGGACCAGTGCGGTTCTAGGGTCTGTCAGAGATTAAGGATGGATTTCACAGACATCCACAGACATGCATGGGTGCCACAGGATGGTGACTCGAAGCTGGTTCTGGACCTGGTTCCCTCTGCCAGGAGGCAGTAGGGGAACCAGAAACTTCCTTCTTGTTCTCTCCAGAGGCACTAGAATCCAGTTTTGATGCTCAGGGTCATTCGGCTTCCTTGTTCTCTTTGAATATAGACCCGCCTACATGGCCGAGCGATACTATGAAGAGGATGGCTTAAAGGCAAGAGTCTGACAATAATAATTGGTGCAAGTTACACACTAGGGTCAGAGTAAAAACCAGGGCTGACCCAATAAGGCACCAGATGCCGGGCCAGCCGAGGAAGCCAGCAAACACGTATGTCAGCCCAGCAGCACTGTGGGCGCCGTGTGAGGGACACAGCTAGATGACTGAGGTCTCTGTCTGCAGGAAGGACTGGGTGCGGGAGCCCCGGTGTATCTGTAGGGCACTTTCTGAACCGTTCCGGGACATGGACCAGCTGTGCAGCCGGTAGTCCCTGCCCCCAGGCTGGGTCAGACACAGGCCTCGCCACCTTCTTTTCAGTTCACACTGTACCTGGGGGTGAGGGAGTTAATGAAGGGTCAGCTTGGAATGCAGGAACTCATGTGTCCTCCAGAAAAATATGCAGCATGGATTCAACCACTAGACAGCAAACAACTGTCATGGTGGGTGGTCTGGGCCACCCCTTTAATGGTTCCTGAAGAGAAGTTTTATCCTCAGGAAGGTGTTGGGTGAGTGTGGAGGGGCAGGCAGAACAGAGAGCTATGGGAGACAGGCCCAGCTTTGTTGAGTGTTGATGTCAATACCATCAGGCTATACTGATGGGCCTGACGCAGGGAGTCGGGGTTCACAGAGAAGGTTATAGTCTTATGGACATTGGTGAGTCTGATGTAGTATGAGCTATGTCTCAGCACAGCCCCAAGGCTCCTTTAGGACCTTCATCACCGTCTCCCCCTTTTAAGGGCTCTAATGAAGAAAGTTTTGCAAGGGTACAGGCATGTCGGCTCTGTAAAAGCCTTCCTTAGTGACCTGAAGAAGGGCTGGTCATCAGGTGAGGGTCATTCACAGGGACAGTCAGCCATATTTAGGGGTGGGTAGATTCTGGGGACTTGAGGGTGCATGGAAGCAGTGGTCACATACAGAGAACTTGGCTCTAATCTTGTCTTGGGACAAAGTGATGCATCTCTCAACGAGGCCCTTCCATCGACACCACACCTTCTTGGACTCAGTTGTGGACTGAACAGTAAGATGCTGGCCATGGTGGCTGGAGAGACAGCTCAGAGGTTAAGAGCACTGTCTGTTCTTCCAGATGTCCTGAGTTCAATTCCCAGCACCACATGGTGGCCCACAACTGGGATCTGATGCCCTCTTCTGGCATGCTGGTATACACACAGATAGAGCACTTACATAGAATAAATGATAGATAGATAGGTAGGTAGGTAGGTAGGTAGATAGGTAGATAGATAGATAGATAGATAGATAGATAGATAGATAGATAGATGATAGATAGATAGACAGATAGATGATAGATAGACAAAGATGCTGACTATGAGGGGACACTGGGTGGAGGAACAAGTCTGGCCTTGGTTGTATGTGGGCACAGCCAGGCAGAGGCGGGTGATGGGCCAACTCCTGACTCAATGTCAGTTCAGTCCCAATCAACGAAGGACTTACCTCACTGTTCAGGAAACAGTACAGCACTGCCACTACCAGGCCCTGCAAAGAGACAGAGTGTCAGAGCGGCCCACAGCTTGCAGTGCCCGCAGCTCCTCCCAGACCTACCTGGAAGGAACCGACACACAGCTCAAACAGGATCTGGTACGTGGAGGAGATGCCGATGGGGAAAGCGGCAAACACCATGTAGTGGACGCCGAACAGTGGGATTAGCAGCAGCGTGGACTTGGCCAGCCTCCTAGCAGGAGAAGGACATGATGTGCCTCGCCTCTCCCACGTGGGACCATGGGAGACTTCAGAGGCTGAAGCAGTCAGCGAGGCTGGAATGCTCACTCTACTTGTGCCCATGGACCCTCCTCCTCTTTTCACATGACTGGGCACCAGTCAATATGGATTAGGGTTTTCCTGGCATCTGAGTTATCAAAGCCAAAGCTTCCTAAACTTCCGCCTGCATTGGAACCATGTGGAGGCCTTGTCACAGCTCAGGAACATGAACAGCTGGGCAACAGCCTGAGAATCTGCATTCTGCCCAGTTCCTAGTGAGACCTGCTGTTCTCACCCTGCTTTCTCAGCCCCATCCTCAGGAGCAGGTATCTAGCTTAACCTCTCCAAGTGCCGCCAACTGCTCTGGAGTCAGTGCTTATCTGAGCAGCCACCTGGGGGGGGGCAGGCAGATCTGTGGACGCCCTCCCTGGGCTGCTGATGGTCACTAAGCACATAGCCCATCTCCAATAGAGTCAGGGAAGGGAGGGAGGAGGCTCCTGCTTCCTGTTCCTCTTGCTCCTTTCATTACCTTCTAACCCAGGGGGAAAAAGAATCAATTTTCTCTCACGTATTTTAAAGGTATCCTCTTCAAGGCCACAGTGAACAGGGTGTTCTGGCTAATCTTATACAATCAACTTATCACAAGCTAGAGTAATCTGAAAGGAGGAAACCTCAGTTGAGAAAATGGCTCCATCAGATCCAGCATAATTAAGGCATTTTCTTAACTAGTGATTGATGTGGGGAGGGCCCAGCCCCAGGGTGGGGCTACTCCTGCGCTGGTGGTCCTGGGTTCTGAAAGGAAGCAAGCCATGAGGAGCAAGCCAGTAAGCAGCACTCCTCCATGGCCTCTGCGTCAGCTGCTTCCAGGATCCTGCCCTTTTGAACTTCTTTCAGTGATGAACAACAGTGTGAAAGCGTGTACCAAATAAACTCTTTCCTACCTGACTTGCTTTTTGGTCATGGTGTTTCATCACAGCAACAGAAACCCAAACTAAGACACAGGGTAGCAAGTCCTAGAGGTGTGTGTCTTCCTATGAGGGGGGAGTATTTTTATTTTCTCCTGTTTGATAACCTGCACAGAAGTCTGGTCCTTTCTCTGATGGATATGGCATAAGGAGTAGGTGTCTCTACCGACAGGACGTCACTGCAGCTGCCGCCTTGCAAATGTGCCCCCTCAGGGCTCTGTGCCCATGTCCTCCAGCTTCAGCAGGATGGGTTCCCGGGTTCCTGAGCACCCCTCTTCACTGCCAGGCCCTGACATTGGCATGACAGGAAGGTCTTTAGTCTTTCTTTTCTATAATCCAAGGGGTGAAACACAGCCCTCTGCCTTTCTCATTACCCTGGAAAAGCACAGACTTCATTACCCCATATAATTGTTTCCAAAATAAAAGCATCCATCTCAAGGCCTTCTCAACTAACACTCCCCAGGAACCCAGAGAAAAGGTCAACACAGGCACTAAACAAGATTTGCCGAAAATCTAAATTCAATTGAAGGGCGACTAAGAATGTGCGCCTCTGCTCAGGGCTGCAGAGGGAATGAGTGGGGACCATCGTCGCCTTCCAGGCCCTGGGCGGGAGGCTGTGCCTTGTCATGGGGAGCCTACTAGGTTTCCTCTACAACGAGAACTTATTCCTTGTATTTTGTGCACACCATGGCACAAGTAAGACTTAAAGGACCACCAAATCCTTCTCTACTCTTCTGTGCCAGGCACGGCATTTGTTTCTCAGATAGAACAGGCAAATATCCATTCCACTCTCAGGGAGGAGGATGCAGGGAAGGCCCCTTTCTGCTCAGCCGAACTGATGGCTCAGCACCCACATGGATGCTGTGTGTTTTGATGGAAAGGAACCTGGGTAAAGGTGCTAACTACCAACTGGCTGGGAGCTGGTGACCTGCCAGGGTGATGCAGCTCTTAGCCAGCACAGCCCCACAGCCCGGGCTCTTGAGCTGTACCACATGCAATGTCACTGAATATGTGTTCACATCACACCTGAGTTGGGGGTGTGTGTGTCTGTATTTTCTTGGTGAATTGTGGGTAACTTAAGGACTCCGTGGACAATCATAAATTAGCTGGTGACATTCATGACCTCTGCCCTGTGCCCTTCTCATTGACACACAGCTTGTTAGATTATTGCTAAGGCAGGCCCAGGCACAAAGTGTCAGCAGTGCTGGTGGGGCCCAGCCTCAGAGTCTTGTGGGAAAGACAGACAATATGAAGAACAAGGTATAGTCAAAGGAAGGTGTCATGCTGTGACATCAGGGCAAGGACACTTTGAGGAGCACCCTTACTACAGGGCTCTGTGCATGCTGAACATGAGAAGGTGCCCGTGTTTTAAAGCCATCATCATACTGGCGTGGATTGTTGAGTGCTAGGCTGGCAGAATCCAGTCAGTGCAAGTCGTGTCCTGAAGGTCCACCTAGGGACCGTGAGGGCCTTGTGGAGGTCGGCACTGGGTTCTGCTGTCCACGCACTTGGCTGCGATCTCCCGCCATGCAGATGCTCACCTGTACTGCGACTGGTCGTTGCCACCAACATCTGGGGAGGTTAGCTTCTGAAGCAAGATTCTTACAATGCTGATGAAGAGGGCAAAGTTGACCTTCACAGAGACGACAGAGACAACAACAACAACAACAAGAACACCCTGATCTGTGGGAACCTTTAGTCTTAGCCCTAACCACCGTCTACAGGACTCAGCCATCCTCTACCCCAGGCACTGGCTCTGCCCACTGCATGGAGGAGGACCTCATGTGGGCACTGAAGGTGCTATTGTACAAGGTTGTGGTTATCTGAGCAGCTGGGGATGGGCAACAGACTGTTAGAGTCTAGCCCAAGCCTAGAACCCGGGTCTTCCCCTCCCTTGTGTTGCCCCGGAGGTGCTGGGGGCCCTTCTGGAGGAAGGGGCAGCCACCCACACAGTGCAGGACGGCTGCACCCCGCATGGCAGCCACTTACTACAATAGAAATCAGGATGGGCATCCGAATGACCCACCAGGGGACGCTGTGGTCGTTTGTGTCCCAGCAACTGCCAGAGAGGAAGAAACGGGTGTCACGGGCTCGGCACACAAACCAGGCTCTGTGCAGCCCCGTGCAGTGGAGGACTGACCGCTCACACCCTCCCCCCTTCTTCAGCCTGCTACTCCATCTGTCACTCAGGCTCAGACTGCAGTCACCTCCGACTAGATCTAACTGCTCTGCATGTAGAGCTAAGCAGCCCTCCCCAGGGAGTTAGCCTGGCAGTCTGCTAATCGGGAGGTGGCACAGGTGGCTCGAAGCGCGCTCCGGGTTGGTAAGCCCCAAAGCTGGGATGTTAGTTCCAGGCGTGTGCTTTCGCTTCACTTCATGTCATGAAGGCTGTTTTTTTTTCCCCTTCTGTAAACATCTCCGCCCCCTCAACTGTTTGCATCTGTGTTTTAAAGGAAGAATTAAGAAATGTGCCTTGAGAGTGGCTGAAGTATCCTGATTTTCATAAGGCTTATCTCCAGCAGAAGTGTGATTATATGAGGCTTCCTGCTTCGGTGTCTGCAGCCCGCAGCCATGCTGACTGTCCCAGTGAGAGCTCCATGGCCTTGGGCCCCTTGGGTTTGGCAATGTGATACGGACAGTCAGGCTGGCCCTGAGGACGCTAACTCCTATTCATCCTCTCAGGAACCCACAGAGCGTAGAGTGCCATCCAGCTGGCACCGTTGTCCGCCTCAGTTGTCAGTTCTGCTTACCCAGGGTGACTGGACCCGTGAACCAGCTGAGGACACTTCTCAGGTGGGGTGAATGGGGTTTCCTTTTTGTTGTCAGTGTAAAGTCACAGACTAAAGAAATGGATTGGCTTAGGCTGTCCACCCATACAGTGATATGTTCTTTAGGGGACAGTTGGTACCGAAGGGTCTTTTGTGAGTTACATTTAGGTTTGGGATGCCTGTGTCACTATCGCTGGGCTCAGAAGTTCTCAGAGGAGAAGCCACTCCTGGAGGCCATCCAGATAGCCAGATAGCCTGATCTCGCTGCATCAAACCTGCTTGCTTCTGCTTGGCTCTTCTGGGAACACCAAGCAGTCACTCACTCTGCCTGGTTTGTCCCAGCTTTAGCTAAATGGAGATGTGGCTTCACCGTCACCTCTCCCTTGGGCCATCTTCCAAATACTGGAACATGTAGCGAGTCTTGCCCACAACCATCCCCGTGCCTTCTAATCATGGGTGCTAAATGCTGCCCAGAAACGTCTTGACCAGCTGCAAGCATTTCTTGTCTCGAACGGGATGAGCTTCTTCTGTTCCCAGATACTCAACCAGAGCTGACAGGCCTGGGCTCACAGGGATGGACGCACACACAGTACTCACCCTGTGTCCTCTAAAGAGAGGCGGGTTGCTGTCCACGCTCCTATACACACACTGGGGATGCCTGTGGAGAGACCCCACAGATTAGCTCGTGCTCATGAATGAGGAGCAGCACCCTCACACCTGTTGCTCAAGAGCCAGAACTCCTAGAGAGTAATTTTCAACCAAAGGGACCATATGGAAGCTCTTTCTTAATGTCTTCTTCAACATGTGAGGCTTACACTTAAACCTTATTAAGATTTTCACTTGCAGCAAAGACAAATTTGTCTGAAAGCTGAGATTCTGGACAGGGCTGAAACCAGTCTGCTGAAGACAGGGATGCCAAGTAAAATGGAAGCATGCTCCCTGGCTCCACGCTGCCTGAGGGGCATGTGTTTGCCCCCCCCCCCAAGCCATGCAAGCCTCCATCCCTTCCTGCTCTGGGGTCCTCCAGCACTAAGCGTGGCATTAGCCTGCTCTTCTGAGTTTTCTGATATGAGCTGACTGAGAAAAGGGAGAAGAACAACCATTTTGCTCCTTGTTAGCAGTGGTTTCACTTAAGGGAGAGGGGCTGTGGATGGAGGTAGAATTCTAAAGCATTTTAGCCAGGTCCATGGTTGATACTGGTGGGGCCCTCAGTGCACCCAAGGCGACCACAATGTATACCCTGGGAGGTAGAGTTCTGAGTGGACAAATGAGATGAGAATCAAGATGGAGAACGCGAAGCCCTTACCCCATCCGATCAGAAGGTAGGCCAGGAAGCACCTGCTGGGGGGGAGGACGGCCACCAGGAGGGTGTGCAGGTAGAGCCCCTCCACCAGAAGCCAGTAGAAGTTCGCCATGATACAGTACTGGAAGAATACCAGGCTGAGCTTGCAGCCGACCTGGAACCACAGACAGTGAGAGAACGTGCCAGTCAGTAAAAATAGTTACAGCAGGCACGGCTGCTCTCTGTTTGGATAAGTTGTAAAGCAAAGCCACGGTGCTGACTTGGAGGGACATTGTTAATATCTTGGCCTGGCAGAGGCCAAATATGTGTTATAGTGAGGCAGAGCCCTTTGTATATACAATGCCAGGGACCATCAGCAGGGAGCCTCTGGTTCGCTGAAGAGAGGAGTTCAGGCAGAGTGATCCTGAGATCCAGCTGCTGCCCATGTTCCTGTATACCAAGCTCAGATGTACCTCCTCCTACCCGGTCTGCCTTCCTGCTGTTACCCCTGGCCCCTCTGACGTCAGTGCTTCCTCCACTGCCCCCTCAGGAGGTTCACTCTCTTCAGAGCACGCAGCGGAGAGCACTTGCCGGGTGAAGTGATGGGTAGGATTGCTTATTTTAGGATTTCCATTGCCAGGTTGAAACACCATGACCAAAAGCAGGTTAAGCAGGAAAGGGTTTGCTTCATTTGACAGCTCTCAGCTCACATTTCGCCACTGAGGGAAGTCAGAGCAGGAACTCAAGGCAGGAACCTGGAGGCAGGAACTGAAGCAGAAGCCACAAGGAGTGCTGCTTACTGGCTTGCTCCTCACGGTTCATTCAGCCAGGCATCTGGGCCCTTTCACATCAGTCATCAACCAAGAAAATGGCCACAGGCCAAACTGGTGGAGGTATTTTCTCACCTGGGATTTTCACTTGCCAAATGACTCTATCTTGTGTCAAGTTAACATAAAACTTGCCAAAACGATGCTATGGACACTTGAGGTGCCTGCAGGGGGATGGGCCAGGATACCAGGAGGGCTGTCAGTGGCTAGATGCCTGGGGAGAGGGCCTGCCTCTGTCATGAACTCAGGTGACTGCTCTCTGATCACCCGCCTGGTGATGCAGCCTTGCCAGGCCACGGAAGCAGAGGATCCAAGCAGTCCTGGTGAGGCTTGACAAGCTATGGGTAGATAGCGGTAGTGGAGAACTCCCCCTCTCAGTGGACTAGGGGGAGGGGTTGGGGAGAAGACAGAGGGAGGGTGGGACTGGGGAAGTTCAGGGAGGGGGCTTCAATCAGGATATATAATGAATAAATTGTGAAGAAAAAATAAAATAAAAAATAAAGATTTATAAAACCCTAAAAAACGCCTAGAAAAAGCAGTTCATCTGCTATATTTCTAACTCTAATTAATTTCTCAAAATTTAAATACTTACTCTTTTACAATATTTTCATGTATGGGTATGCATGTGTATACCTTCCCCACATACAGATACAAATTTGTGCTCACCATATGAGTGGGAAAATATATCATATACATGAATAATTGTGTATCACATATGTGAATGTGTATGTGACACATTCATATTTAAATATATAAATATATAGCACATATATTTGAATATATACACATCCTATGAATAAAATACATCTATCCCACATATTGTATCCATAATATAAGAATCTCTAATATATGTATATTTACTTGTGTCTATCTGTAGATATACATATTTATAGGTAGATAAATGAGAAAAGAGTTGAAAGTGATATTCTTTTTCCTATAGAAGTGGAAATCTCCCAATGGCTCACAAAGTTGTAATTCCTGGGTTATGAAATCCCTGATTTATGAAAGGAGACCAAAGGTTTAAATATTCTGACTATTCATTTCACATCACACACGGGGTGGATGTACTTACAGGAAACATGGAAGCCTTTCCAGATGGTCTCCATGTCTGTGAGGGTCTTGACCCCACCATGCTGAACCCCACCCATGCCCCAGCCTGTGCCACATGGCTATAGCATTATGCTTTGCTGCCTCTTTTTCCTCCAAATGAAAGTAAGGTACAGAGCAACTCCTTCTAGGAACAGCAAGGCACCAAAGACTTCTTACTATCCATCTTTACCATCAGTGAAGACCTCTACAGTTTCTGATCATAGTATGGGATCCTGTGCGTAGATGCCACAGCAACCCAGCCATGAAAACAAGAAAACAAAGTCCACAGTTTTCTATCTTGTTATCAGTTATTGGGATAATGAGTGAAGCAAATGAAAATCTTTGAGGCATGAATTTGGCGATGACCTGTTTAAATGTACCTTGATTTTTTCAACCCTTGATAGAGACTACCCTACCTTAAGACCCAAGATGAATAAATTACAAGTGTATTAGAGAACAAAACTGAAAATAAATATCTCTTAATCAAGATAAGAAACCTGAAACCCCAACATAAATGTAATGCTAAAAGGCTAAATGGTAATTTTGAGCATACTGATCACTTCTAGGAAGCAAAATACCACTAAAATGCAACTGACAAGTGATGAATCTGGAAACACATTTGCAACAGAAACATAAAATGCTCCTTTCAGTAGACAACAATAGGCAAAGTTGGAAAGGAAAGATAGCTCCATGTTCTGTGGTGTTCATGGGAGGCTGGGAAAGCCCCAGGAAGATGGCTGCCCTTGGAAATGCCTTTGAATGGGACGCTAGGTGCCAAGGACAGAACATAATGTCACATCCCTCCTGGTGCCAATCAATTCAAACAATTGATTGTTCGAAGAGCAATCAATTGATTGGCTTACAATGTGAAGTGCATCTGCCCTTTGCAAAGCACTAGCCCCCAAAGTTTGAGGAGTTTGAGGAGGGGTTTTGATAGGTGATGAGGTCATGAAGGTGGAGCTTGGTAATGAGGGCATGTTTGAGAAGTGGGCTCTTTATATATGACCCTCAGGAGATGCCAAGTTGGCAGTGCTGTGGTCCTGGACCTTTGGCTTCCAGGACAGTGTGTGCCATCATGACTCCCCAGGTTGTGGAGATGCTCTGAGCTGTCTGCTCCATCCGTGCAGTCCACCTCACAGAAACACGAACACACATGCCTGGAGATACAAACCCAAGACTGAGTCTGTTGTAGGGAGCCACTCAGACGGATTATCCTGGGCGGCCATGACATGGATGGCAGAGAACAGTGCACAGGGAGAAGGCATAGAAGAATGCTTTTGCCAATCCCATGTTCTAAACAGTGTCAGAAATGCTGCTTCTCACTGACTTCCCTTTGCCCACTGATAACAAGTGTGATTTGTGAGGACCGGAGGCCTGAGCTTCATGGGATCATCTTCTGACTTTACCTTCCATAACTCTGGTCACTGAACCACATAACCCTGGAGTCCATGTGGGGAGGGGAAATCTGCCACTAGCTGATAGGTCAGTGAGGTAACAGCAGGGAACAGGTAACAAAGCCAGACGAATCCACAGCAGGCTGGAGAGACCAAAGCTTTGTCTGGGAGTCTGTGTGTATTCATGTGTCTGGGGCGCATGTGTATTTGTTCACACAGACATACTTGGAATGCATGTGTTTTTGTAAAATGTGTTGTTCACACACAGGTTTTCATGTATGCACTGCACGGGAATGTGGGCAAAGTCACTCACTGTTTTCTGCTCATTTCCCTCCTTCATTCTGACATCAGCTATGTGGGTGAGTAGCCCTAGCTTCCAGCCGGGGTCCTTGGTCTGCTAGCCCCTCATTCCCCCCAGCGCTCAGTACTCAGACAGAGCCGGCTTCTGTCCAGCTGGCTATCTGGGGTTTTCTGTAGTGCTTAGGGCCTCTCCACTTCCCTCATCTGGGCAGGCAGGACTCAGGCTTCCTAGAAGCTGCACACCTCAGGAGAAATCTGTTGGGCTCACCAGGGATAAATGGCTCTGCCTCATGAAAGCTGCCCAGAAGTTGAGGAACCTGTGCAGCCTTGGGGCACATGAAGAGCTGTTCTGCCAGCCTCCTGGGCCAGAAAGGGGCCTCTTCATGCGTGGAATTGTTCTGCTGCCTGGAAAAAGCAATTTATCACATCATGGGGAGCATTTCTGGTGGGTTGCTTGGGAGGAATAAATGGAAAAAATGGAGTTGGAAGGAAAAGTTTCCTGTTGCTCACTCTGCAATTTGACTCTGCTCTGCTAATGTGTTCAGAACTTTATCATTCTTCTGACAGCTCTGTTCTTTTCCTTCTTTCTCCCCTCCATGCTGTGGTCTGCCTTCCTACTTTGGCTCCCTCTTTGCCCCTTTGTCCCTCCTGTCTGCCTCCTCTATGTAGGAATCCTGGGGCCATCAGGAATTGGAGCACAGCCAGATCCGAGAGAGAGAGAGAGAGAGAGAGAGAGAGAGGCTGGGGAACGTGTTTCTGTTTCCTGCCCTCATCCCCAGCCCTTGGCAAGGACATGGGCATTCTGTCTAGCGTGAATGGAGAGCAGGTACTCAGGTGGGAGCCTCAGATTTCCTCAGCTCAGTCTCATCACTTGTGATGCAGGCTAAGTCCTGTTCCTGCAAGCACTCACACACAGCACAGGGAAACAGACTGGGACTGAAAGGAAGTCAGCACTGTGATGGGAGGTGGAGATTGCCCTGCAGGAGCTGGCCACATAGAGAGGGCGTGTGGGATGGTGGCATTGCTCTACCTTTTGTACTTCAGGGGTGCCTGCTGCCTTCCTCTGTCTCTCCACATGAAGGGTTTAGGTTTTGGGGTCTCATCGAGATATAGCTAAGCACGGTGCTTCAGAGAAAGGTGGGTGTTGGGTGGTCTCTGGGGAATCAGTTTCTTCAAGAAAAGAGCTAAGAATGAAGCTGCACAGAACAGCTCTGGGTGCTGCAGTGAGGGGATCTGCAACATCCTGGTGATTACCCCAGGTAAGCACGTGCTAAGACCCTCATCTCAGGACGAGAGCTTCCAAGACAGCCATGCTTGCCCAGGCGCAGAAGTATCCAAGCGGCGGATCCTGTTTCTGACTTTGCTACTGTAACAGACCCTTTAAAAAGCCCACTTCTGTACCCGAGCCTGGAGAATGAGCTCACCTGTAGGGAGATGGTGACGGTTAGACACAGATGAAGCGCTACGCAGCTACAAGTCACTTCGCTGAGTCAAAACTAAACTAAGTAAAATCTGTTCGGGTTTCCGTGTGGGGAGGCAGCTCAGTGTCCTGTCTCTTTAAGCAAGTGAGAGCACAGACCAGGAACAACACCACATGTCCAAATGTGGAGAATTATGCTAGCAGAGCAAACCCTGGGCAGAGCAAACCTTCATGTAGCAGCTCTCAGATACCTGTCCAAGTGCTTGAGTAGGTAGTAAATTACCACTACTGACCCCACGAGGAGAGCCACGGCAGAATGGCCAGGCACGTGAGAGAGCCCAGCTGCGCTGCAGAAAGCAATCGCTAGTGTCTTGAACCGAGTGCAGACAAGTGTGTCTCCCGCAGGAACTGCCTGCACTTCATATACCGTGTGCCTTGATTCTCTCCAGAGCATGGGCAGATGACTTATTCCGCGGAATCTGGGTGATTTAGCTGAAGCGTATGCTCACTTAAAAGAAGTTTGTCACCTGCTGCTTCTGCTGCTGCGCTCACTTCAGCATTGGTCACCAGGGCCTGGTGCCTTTGAACTCCCCCACTCCCATAGTGGCTAGACAACACCCAGCCTTCAGGACCCTTCTGGCCTTGCCTGCTCACACAGGCCTGAACCCATCCAGCCTCTTCCCATCACTCAGGCTCGAGAAGGACCGTGCTGCGGGTGCCCCTTTCAGGCAGAGGAGGTTGGTAGCTGTTGTGTCCCCCGACACAATGACCCTGCCCACAGGGCAGTCTTACCCAGGAGGCTGGCTGGTCGTGGCAGCGCAGGGTACCTGAGCTGGAGTACAGCACACTGTCCTTGACCAGCACCGAAATGGCTCTCAGCATGAAGGAGAGGAAGAGGTTCAGGTGGATGTAGTTCCTGGTGCAGTGCAGCTTCCTGAAGCAGGAGAGTCAGAGAGTAAGGCTTAGTCATCACCTGTGGTCTTTTCTCCTTATGAAGTTAACCATTTATTGAGCTTCGCTTATCACAGTATATCTTTTGTTTGTTTCCGGTTTGCCTCATGATGAATATTTTTGCATGTGAACTCTCCCTTTATTTCAGATTATTTCCTTAGGTTGGAGTTTAGTACGAATGTATAATGCAAAGCCACACAGGGGCTGCTGGAAGCCTGCAACCAACTGTGCTCTGTTTCCAACGAAGGAGGCCAGTGAAAACAGTGGAATAGAGGGGCTTGTCCAACACTGCCAAGAAACCCTGAAAACCTGGCAAAACGACTCAACTTAATCCTGCCGGAACTCTGGAAAATAGTCAGAGTTGCTGGCTATGTGACCCCGGTGAGCATGTTCTAGGCCAGCCTTGCCATGTCCTATGGTTTATGTCCACTTTAGCGTTATCCTGAAGACCATAGCTCATGCTCTAGGCCAGCCTTGCCATGTCCTATGGTTCATGTCCACTTTAGTGTTATCCTGAAGACCATAGCTCATGCTCTCAGGGTGGCCTCAGGGATTACCTACAAATACAAGATAAATTTTAAAAATGTCTGAGCTCCATGAACAGCTGCTGTGACCTTCCAGAACCCACTCAGATCAAGCAGCGGCTATAATGAAAGCCAGATAGTTGCTGGCTGCTGCCTAAGGACAACATGAGGCAAATGACAGACATTCTGGAGCCTGAGAAGAAAGGCTGAGGAGAGAAGCTCTCTGGGAACCAGGAATCTGAAAAGCTTTCACAGATGCAGAGGAACTTTGAAGCCTGCATACACAACTGTGCAGGTCATGTGCTCCCAGAGAGTATTCACTGCAGGTGATTTTTAAACTTAGCATAAGTAAAAGTTAAGTTAAGGCAGAATTGTACACAGTTTGGCCAAGCATTAGAGGAGGGCTGTCAACATAGCCAAACTCTCCAGATGGGATGGAGTTTGTTTTGTTTTCTACCTGTTTTCCCCCTGTGACTGTGGTTGACTGAGAAAATCTCAGTAAGCAATTGACTGCTAGCTAACAGTATATGGGCTTCAGAGACCAACAGGGCCAAAACCATCTCCACAAAATAGAAAAGTTTAGAAAAGTCACTAAGGAAATAATTACAATCTGGACCCAGTGGCTCAAAGACATGAAGGCTGCACATTCAAGACATGAGAGCTAACTCTCAAGTACCACAAGTAAAATAGAATAATAAAAATAAAATAGAATATAGAAACACCTTCGTCTCATAACAAAGGACAACAAAACTGAGAGGCAAAATTTCATTTCCAGAGTTATCATAATATTAAAAATGTCCAATTCCAACAAAAAGAATATGAGTCATTAAAAGAAGCAAGAAAGTTGTATTACTAATGGGAAAAACAAAAGTAAACCTTCCCTTTAAAAAGCACATGAAACTTGTAAAAGAAAACCAACAAAAAAGTTACATGAAGTAGCCTTACTAGACAGAAGCTTAAAGCCAAATGCCTTGAACGTGTTCAAAGAACAGAATGAAATAAAGAGAATAATCCTTCATCAAACACAAAATTTCAATAAAATAATGAAATTTGAGGAAGTAACTAAATAAAAATTTTGGATTAAAATGTACAACTGGCATTAGAGATTGCCTAGAGATAGCCAAGGAAAATCTAGGCAGGCAAAGGGAGTCAGTAAATTTAAAGATCAAAGAAAAGTATCCAGTCTTAGAAGTTGTTATGCAGTGATTTGCTCAAAATGGAAACATTTCATCTTAGAGAAGGGTGTTTAAGACTAGGCAAGTAAGGCCAGGCAGTGGTGGTACATGCCTTTAGCCTTTAATTCCAGCACTCAGGAGGCAGAGGGCCAGGTGGATCCCTGTGAGTTCAAGGCCAGCTTAGTTTACAGAGTGAGCTCCAGGAGAGCCAATATACAGAGAAACCCTGTCTTCAGAAACCAAACCAACCAACCAACCAACCAACCAAACAAACAAACAAACAAACAAACAAACAAAAAAGACTACTCAAGTAAATAAAATGTACCAGGCTCAGGCTCAGAAAATAAACACCTCACAAGTCTAAGGAAGTTCCTGAAATTTATAATATTCACAAGGTCCCTCCTCAAACAATAACAGCTTCTGGGTATAGCAGACTCTCCAACCTGCTCAGCAGCCTGCAGATTGAGAAAGGGAACTCCGGGGATGCAGCTTCTGCCATTATCACTTGTGCTTGAGTGGGCGCTCAGGGATGCATTTGCTTCTAAGTCATTCATGTCTCTGTTGTCCATACTGCTGTGATTAGTCCCAGGAAACTCACTAGTTCACTAATCTAGACCTAAGTAGAACCATTACTTTCATCACATGTAAGTTCCTCTTTATTTATTTAATATTTGTTCCTGTCTCCTGATATTTGTTCTGATGTCAGACATCAGAAGCAGAAAAAAATAAATAGATGAAGAAAAACAAAGAAAACCAAAAGACATGGACTACTATCCATCGCTTGCATAATGGAAGCCCCAGAGTCTCATCGGAAAGTAACAAGCAATTGTAAAGGATCTCCTGCAATGGACAGGACAATTCTAAAAAGAACAAAATGGAACAATTTGCTTCTGAATTCCAAACTTTCTGGAGACTGTGGTGATCTAGCTATATGGCTCTGCAAATTGCCCAATGCATTAGAATGAGAATCTTACAGCGTACACATGTATGGCCAGCTGGCTCCTGGTGAAGCCAACAACATTTAATAGTCTGTTGAACGGCCAGGTAGGACTCGTGAGAGAATAAAGCTTGACTCCTATTTCATAGCATATGAAAAACTAAGTGGAAATGAACAAGTGACCAAAATTCAAGAGCTAGCAGTACAAAACTATTTTGGGTTGGAAAAATGTGCCCTTGGATATGACAAAGGTCTCTTAAATATTATACCAAAAGCACAAGCAACATAACAAAAAATAGACTAGTGGGTGTCAACAAAATTTAAAACTTTAATATATTAAGTACATATCACCAAGCTTAAGGTAAACCTAAAAAATGGTAGAAAACATTTGTAGACTAGACTTATGATAACAGCTAGTATCTATAATATATAAAAAATCTTAAATTATAACAAGAAACAAAACAGTCGAATTAGAAACTGGACAAACACGGACTAGAGAAGATACAAAAATGGTCAAAAGCACGTGAGGAGTCTGAACTGATGGCTTAGTTGCCGAAGTGTTTGCTGCACCCAGTGTTAGGAACCAAGTTAGATCCTTTAGACCCATGTGAAAAAGTCGTGTGCAACACCAGATGGGGGAGACTAGAGGGTCCTTGGGGCTTGGGGCTTGCAGGGCAGCCAGGCTAGCCAAATCAGTAAGAGATTGTCTCAAAAAAAAAAAAAAGAGTGATTGAGGAAGCACCAGACACTGGCCTCTGGCGGGCACATACACACACATACATGAGTTCTTACACGCTTGTGCACACACATGACTCGGTGCACCTACCATGCACACAAAGAACTTGAGACCATCAGGCAGCACTTGACACTCAACAGTCACTTATTGTCAGCGTTCTGAACACTGCGGTTCTCTGTATTGACTGACATCTTCTGAAAAAAGAGGCCTCTCTGGTAAGGGCTGGTAATGGAACCATCTATGCAGATAAAGATAAGTTTCTAGAACAGAGGTTGACAAATGTGCATTTTGCAAAATAATAGTAGTAGGCTCTAGGGTTTGCAAGACCTGCAACCACAAGTTCTTGGCCAGATTTAAAGTAATAGTAATAGGCCTGAGTTCCATCCCATGTAATGATCCAACCAGAGGGCAGCTGGTTACCCCCGGTCTAGCTTGCTTTGTGTTGCTGTGATGAAGTGCCATGACCAAAAGCAACATGGGAAGGAAAGGGCTTATTTAACCTTACAGTTCCAGGTAAGACTCTGCCACTGAGGGAACTCAGGACATGAGCCTGGAGCAGGAACCATGGAGGAGGGGTGGCTAGGGAGGAGGGCTAGCCAGTTTTTATTGCCAATTTGTCACAATCAAGACTCCCTTGTGACAATAAAAACTGGCTAGCATACCCTCATAAAAAAGCAAAGGGTACGGCTTGGAGTGGGTGAGTGGTTGTGAACCTGAGAGGTGTTGGAGGTGGAGAGGATATTGGATACAATCAAAATGCCATTTTATTCATGCAAAAAGATTCATAGGAAACTTTAAAATCCTGTTAAAAAGGAAAGTAACCTGAAATACCTGCTCCCACAGATTCCTCTGATTTAAGAAGCCAGAGGTCTCCAACAGTAGTTTAGTTCTGGTGAGACTTGATGTGCTGGGGTGGGTCGGTGAGGGGGATCCCCTTTCCTGAGAAGGGGAGGGGGGAAAAGGGGAAGATGGTGGGAGAGCACGACATGCAAGGACAGAGGGAGGGGGCTGTAAAGTGAACACATCAATTAAAAAGAAAGAGCCATGAACTGGCTCTGTAGAACACGTCTAGACGAAGGTGGAGAGACATGCAACAATGGTGAAGGTAGAAGAATGGTAAGAAAGCATATGAGACCAGGTCAAACACCAAACACGAGAGGGTGGTGACCCAGAAGAGAAGGGTAGGGAAGCAACCCCTCAGGAGGCACTAGCCAAGAGTTTTGAAACTGATCAAAGAGAGTACCGGATCAGACACTTCACAACCATAAGAAAGACACAAAAGTGATGACAGAAGTCCATGAGCAAAAGCTGCAGAAAGTGGGCGACAAAAGAGGAGATGTTCGACAGGGAAAAAGACGGTGCTTTTAGGAACAAGGTTGAGCCATAGGCAACTTCTCAAGAGACACAACCTTCTCCTCAGTACTCAGAAATATCCTTTTAGAAAGCCAGGCAAAATTATCCGTTTTAGGCAAGTAAAAAGCCTGAGAATTCATTGCCATTAGAATGTGACCAGGGGCGGCTAGGAAGGCTCGTTGAGAGGCAGGGGATGACCCAGTGGGAAGGAAAGTGTAGGAAAAAGACCTGAAATAATGATGTCTGTGGGATTTCATATATAATTAAAATAGAGAAAAAGGCTTGAACAGTACATGGGGTTAAAATGTGGTGCTCTTGGATTGACTGGTAAGCAGTCAAAAGCAGGTTAGAGGAAGAGAATGTGTTGGTGGCAGTGGAGGTGCAAGCCTTTAATCCCAGCACTCGGGAGGCAGAGGCAGAAAGGTCTCTAAATTTGTGGCCAGCCTGGTCTACAAAGTGAGTTCTAGGAGACAGGACTATGCAGAGAAACCCTGTGTACAGAAGGAAGAAAGACGGGGCAGGGGTGTCCTGTAAATGTCAGATTATAACTGAGTGAAAATAGAACCTGTAACTAACAGTATAAAAGAAAAGAAACTGGAATAAAGAGAACTGTGACAGACAGAAAAAAATAAATAGAGGGTAGAGGAAAACTGAAAGTTGTTAATAAATATGCCAACTGTGAGCTTAGCAATGCTGCCTGTTAGTACACCGTGGGGAACGTTGCTCTAGTTCAGTCTTCCACATGTTGATAGCCAGCTCCATGCTTTCGCATGGCACCTAATCGTTTAATGCACAATAGCTGAGCTAACGGGCAGCGTTACCTGTTTACATAAGAACTGCAAATGTTTAGAAAGAAAATTGTCAACATGCTGCCCTTCTCCAAGAGTGCTCTATTTTTTATTTCTTTATTTTTCTGTGTGCATGTGTAACTGAGTGAGTTTATGTGTACCATGTCTGCAAGGGAGCCCACAGCCGTCAGAATAAAGCAACAGATTCCTTGGAACTGGAGTTACAGATGGTCATGTGACACAGTGTTAGTGCTGGAACTGAATCCCAGCTCTGCAACAGCAAGTAGTTTTAACTGCAGATCTCTCTCTCTAGCCCCAAGGCTGCTCTATACTTTGGCACATGTCGGGATTCCAGGTCAGGAGTCTAACCATCACAGGTCTCAAAAACCTATAGGGAAGTTCGCTCTTCTCATAATCTTTGTAGAATTGCTCATTTTTGTTCCTTACCTGAAGAGGCAGATAATTATGCTTCCTGTTGTAAGAGACATCAGAGAAACACTGTAGCCCAAGGTATAAATGGCCTTCACCAGAATATAAAACGTGATCTAGGAAGAAATAAAAAACACATCTGTAAGCTGCTGGCCAAATGCGTGGGTCAACAGAACATTCTGAGTCCTCAGTCATAAAGGACCCTCTCTCCTGCATGCTGAGTGCTGGTATGATTATTTTAGAATTCTGCCTCCATCTTGAGCCCAGAAGGACCTTGGCTTTTTGAACACCTATCTTCTCTTACAAGCCAATTTAAATGAGTAGAAGACTTCTGTGAAGACGTTTATCAAAGGGAACTGCATTGGCTACCATTAGGGCCAAGAAAAAGAAAGGCTGAGATGAATAAAACTTGTAGGGTTCCTTGACTGGAGTAGGAATGTACAGTCTTCTGTAAATGAATTTCCAAATAAGACCAGGTGGAGACACACACTTGAGCTCATGGAAAACAACATGGCATCAAAGGTACATGGCCTTACTCAGAGGGTCTCTCCTCATAGCGTGGCTGCATTTACAACGTTTTATTTCTCATGTCTCTTAGGCTAGTAGGCTCCGTGGCTGGAGTCTCATCCATGCAATCACTGGATATGGGATAGAAGGCCTATAATTACTTCTGTAGGACCATTGAGGACACTGTGAAAACAGGAACCCTGTGTGTGTGTGTGTGTGTATGTGTGTGTGTGTGTTCATCATAGAGAAAAGCAGGCAATCACAGGACACCTGGACAGGCTGCACTATCCTAGTTGCTCAGAGGCCTCACCTGGTCTTCACTTTCTGGTAAAACTAATTCTTGTATGAAAATGAGAATATACCTGTTGATATAGGATGAATTAAATTTTTTTTTTTGTCAAAAAGTCCTGAAACAAACCTACCCACGGCTGCCAGGCCTCATGGTTATGGTACAATAAAGAGTCTGTCAAGAATGGTGGCACATGCCTGCAATCCCAGGATTTAGGAGTTAGAGGCTGGAAGATCAGGAGTTCAAGGCCAGCCTTCATTGCATAGAGAGTCTGAAACAAGATTCAATTACATGAGGCCCTATTTAAAAGTGTTTATAATAAAACATAAAAAAATTGCATCTTGCTACAATATCAATTGTCTAGGCAAGTTGTCCGTAATAATGCAATAGTGGCATGATTATTACGGACAAACCAATTATTTTCTCAATGGATGTGAGGTCTTCTCCACAGGAGGAATCTCATTTCTGGTGTTCTGAGTTTCACCTAAGGCCTATGAATGGGGAGACAATACACTGTAGTGAGGACCCTACTGGTGTTTCACTAAACAATCATGTTGTCAAACTGCCTTCTGAACATCTATGCTTATTGCCATCGATTTGTGCTGTCAAGCTTGGTCAGAGATGCTTCTTTTTCATTGGGTAGTGTGGTTAACGCAAAGACTCCTCAGTGGTCAAAGTACTGAGAATAAGCAAATGTGAGTATTCAGCTGCTGGCTCATCTTCTATACCTATTTATATCACCCAGGGAACACTGGGGGCCAGAGGACAGAAAGAATGTGATAGCCAGAGGATGACTAGCAAAGTTGTGAAATACTACACAGCTGTTGAACATGTCGACGTGTAGCAGCTGTGGTTGCTTGCACAAGCCTTGCAAAAAAAAAACCAAGCCAGCCAAAATTCCAGCATGGACTGTGGAGTGCTTCCAAGGCCCCGCCCTAGTGCAGAAGCTGTTGGTACTTGCTGGCTGCCGACAGAGGGAGACTCACTTTTCTTTGGTGAAGATGCGGATGCCGGTAAGCTTGCTGCTTATGCCGCAGTGCATGGAAACACACCCATGCACATGTGGGCTGCATGAATTTGGCTCAGGCTAATAATAATAATAATAATAATAATAATAATAATTATTATTATTATTATAATTATAGAAAGTAGTCCAAAAAGAAAACAAGGAGTTGGAGGGGAGACTGGTCAGGTTGTCCTGGGAAAGTTGAGGAGAGGTTAGTAAAAATAGATATAATAAAAATTTATTTTATAGTGCATACAATTCTTAAATAAATGAAAATAGTATACATGATGTTAGGTTTACTCAGAATATGTGACAGTCTAATTACGATATTAAGTTTGAATTACAGGACTTCTCCTTGTTGTACTAGACTGTGCCATAAAGGGTAGGTTACAGAAAAGCGGAGAGAACAGGGGCCCATACAACCCTCCTCCATCTTAAGCGTGGTCGTCCCTGCCTCATCTCTTCCTTCTCCTTCCCCTCATGCCTCATCTTTCAGTTTCCCCACTTCATCTTTATTCTTACCTCATCTTCCCTTCCACATACATCCGCAGCATCTCCTCACTTTATCCTTCCCATCTCTCCCAGCATTTCACTAACTTATCTTCATCCTTATCCCTCAGTAATTCTCACCCCTTCTGCTTACACCCCCCTAGGTTCCTCATCTCACCCCAGTATCTCCTCATTCCCCGTCTCCTCTTTCTCATCTCCCTTTAGCTTCTGTCTTAGTTACTTTTCTATTGCTATAAAGAGACACCATGACCAGGGCAATTTATAAAAGAAAGCATTGAATGGGGGGCTTTCTTACAGCTTTGGAGGGTGACTCATGACCACTGTGGTAGGGAGCGTGGCAGCAGGCAGGCAGGCACAGAGTTGGAGCACTAGATGAGAGTTTGCATCCTACCCACTAACAGTAGGCAGAGACAGGGAGGGTAAGGCTGGGCCGGGCCACAGTGGAAGAGGATGCGCTCAGTCCTAATACGACTTGATGTGCTATGGGTTGGTAGGGAGGGCTCCCCTTTTCTGAGAAAGAGGGATAGGGAAAAGAGGGAGGAAGGGTGTGGCTGGGAGGAGAGGAGAGAGGGGGCTATAATCAGGATGTAAAGTGAATAAATAAATAAATTAATTAATTAAAAAAGGCTGGGTCTGGAATTGGCTTTTGAAATCTCAAAGCCCTCCCCAGTGACATACCTCCTCCAGCAAAGCCACACCTCCTAACCCTAATATTTGATCAACCAACTGGGAACCAAACATTCAAACATATGAGCCCATGGAGCCCATTCTCTTTCAAACCGCCACACCTTCCGTTAGACTTGAGGATCGTTTCCCTGTAGCACCTGTTTGGTCAGTGTCATAGTTACTTTTCTATTGCTGTGATCAAACATCATGACCAAGGCAATGTACAGAAAGAAGAGTGTATCTGGGCTTATGCTTCAGAGGGATGACTCCACCCATCATGGAGAAGTATGACACAAGCAGAGACATGGTAACTGGAGCAGAAGCAAGGGCTCCTGTCTTCAAAGGAATGTGAGGCAGAGACAGCTCACTGGGAGTGGCGCATGGCTTTTTGAAACCTCAAAGCTTTCTCTCAGTGGTAAGTTCACACCCACTCAGCCTACGTGAATAATGCCACTAACGGGGGACTATGGGGCCATCTCGTTCAAATCTCCACAGTCAGGTTGGTCCCTTCTCTGAATTCTTCTGGTGCTAAGGTACTCAGTAAGTTTACTCTTGATTATATGTGGCCTTATGTGATTTTTCAAGCACAGGTGCCTCTTCTTGAGCTTTTAGTGCTTCTAGAAACCCTGCTATGATTAAGCAGCCCTTACCTTCTTACCCTTGTCTGGCCCGTGGTTGGCAGAGCAGAACTCTGGAGAGCTGGTATTAGTGTTGCCTCAGCTCCTCATGGGTCCTGTCTGGGGGGTCCAGTGTGGTCATCTACTTAAGTCTGGGCTTGGGAAGGTTGAGCTTGGAGCACTGTTGTCGTGTAAACACACCAACATTGGTACTGGACAGCCGCCCACGGCAGCTGCCTGGGAACACACCGGTCTTCCCTGTGGGCACTCGGGAATGCATGCAGAGCTTCCTGACTGAAAGGACTTGAGTGATAGCAAAGCCTTTGTCTAGGGCAGCAGGGTATTGACAAGGAAAACCACTGTGCAAGTTTCTTCTAATGAGCCAATACAAATCTAATGTGATGAGGACATTTTGGCACAGCTGCTTGCAGTACAAGTATTGCAAACATAGCGGCAGGCCAGATACCTGGGAACGTCATCGCGTCTGTAGCTGAGCTCCCAAGACTCCTCTCCAGGATAACAAATGATTGCTATCTGAACAGAGATGTGCTAAAACTATGCCATTCATAATATGCAAATGAAGTAACTCACACGCTAGGCTAATCACCTGTGCTTCTGAAGCAAACACATCCACTCCTTTTATTCACTTAACTCGTATCATCAAGTAACCTTTGGAGTCAGGAATATCAGTGATGCAAGGAGACAGGAATCACAGGGACCAAAACCAGTATCTAGAATGAACCACATGGTACATTGCAGCCTGCTATGGAAAGTCAGACTTTAGAACAGGGCTCACACCAGCTGCACTGGCTGAGGCCAGTTGCAATCATGACATTGTGGTTAGGGTCAACCTTGGGAAAGAGGGGGGACTCTGGTAAAAGGAATGGCCAGGGCAAAGGCACTGTGGCAGAGGGGGTGGCAGGAAGGTGCAGACCACACGGCTGTGAGAATGTGAAGCTGCAGCAACAGTGTGGCGTCGCTGTATTTCAGTTGCTGGAGTGGCCCCGACATACATGAAGGACAGACATGTGTGGCTCTCTCCAGTGGTGACTGCGTGTTCCAGTGAAACACTGTGGCCAGTCTGAAGAGTGATGGAAAGCATTCAGAGGCTCACGGATGGTTTATGATGGCAAAGGAAACAGGGCTTCCCAACAGAGTAGATAAAGAGTGAGACACAGGGGAATCCAGGGGTGTGATGGAACAACTGGACCACGAAGTGGAGGGACAGGAGGAGCCACGGCTATGTCTTCTCTCTGTATGTACTGCCAGGAAGACTCAGCCTCTGCAGAGGTGGCAAGAGTCAGAGAGAAGCCTGGATCAGAGGATTGTGAGGCGTTCTCAGCAGGAGATGGAACTAAAGCCTCAGACACATGTTAGTAAGAAATTTGATGAGAAGCAACAGTACTTTTGATGAGATGGTAGAGCGGAAGTCAGTGGGCCCCCACTCTGAGTGAGACTGGAAACAGGCAGACATGGGGGTTTTCCGAAGGACGTGCTTTGACTAAGGGGTGGCTTCTGTCT